GGCTTCCCGCTCAAGAAGTGGTCGGCGAACGAGGCGTCGATACTCGATGAGGTCCCTCCTGAGGATCGCCTTCAACGCGAGCCCCGGTGGTGGCTCCCGGGAGAGAGCCACTTGACCCTCGGGCTGCGTTGGCATCCACGCGAAGATCAGTTCGCCTACTCGACGCAACTGACCCAACTGAAGGCTATTACGAAGCGGTCGGTCTTATCTTTAGCCGCTCGGCTATTCGATCCGCTGGGGTGGCTCGCCCCCACTACCGTATTAGCTAAAATTTTGTTTCAGTCCACCTGGTTGCTGGGATTGGATTGGGACACGCAGCTCCCTGACACCGACGTCCGACGATGGCTCGAATTCCAGGCCGGACTGCCTCTACTGGAAACGATCCGAGTGCCCCGATGGCTGGAGAGCGATCAAGAAGGTGTTAAGCGCGAACTGCACGGATTCGCCGACGCCTCGGAAAAAGCGTACGCAGCGGTGGTCTACCTGCGGACCGAAAGCTCGAGCGGCGAAGTAGTCGTGAGCCTCGTGACGGCGAAAACCAAAGTCGCTCCGTTAAAGCAGGTCAGTCTTGCACGGTTGGAGCTAAACGCTGCCGCCTTACTCGTCCGACTCGCCAATCATGCTCGGCGGGTCCTCAAGATAGAAGAGGATCCGACCCATCTGTGGACTGACGCGACCGTAGTGCTGGGCTGGATTCGAGGTCACCCTGCTTCCTGGAAGACATACGTGGCAAACAGAGTGAGTGAGATTCAGCTCACTCTCCCTGACGCTTATTGGCATCACGTCCCCGGGCGTGAAAACCCCGCCGACTGCGCGTCCCGAGGCCTCTTACCAAGGGAACTCGTGGAGCACCCGCTCTGGTGGCAGGGCCCGGCGTGGCTCCGAACTAAAACCGGTCCGTGGCCCGCTCCCTTGGACGACGAAGTACCAGTCGACCTCCCGGAACGGCGCTCTCACATACATGCCGTGGCAGCCGCTACGGAGGAGCCCGAGCTGCTGACGAGGTACTCATCCCTGACGAGCTTGGCGCGGACGACAGCTTGGTGCCGCCGTTGGCTGCGGTGCCTGCGGGCGAGGCGGACTGCCCACGAGAAGCAGCCCGATTCCTCCGCGGGGCTCGTACTAACACGCGAGGAGCTCAGCGACGCCATCGTGGGTTGGATCGGCTGGGTTCAATCCATTCATTTCAAGGGGGAAGCGACGGCCCTCCGAAAGAACGCTCCGCTGCCGGCGCGCAGTTCCATCGCCTCGCTGAGCCCCTTCCTGGACGAGCGAGGCCTACTCCGCGTCGGCGGTAGACTCAAGAACGCCATGCTTGCCTACGACGCTAGGCACCCTGTGATCTTACCGGGACCGTCACGATTAACGAGGCTTATCGTGGAGGCGTGCCATCGGCGGACATTGCACGGAGGCGTGCAGGCGACCCTCGGAGCCCTTCGCCAGGAGTACTGGGTCCCTCGCGGTCCTACATTGGTGAAAGGGTGTATTCGGCGTTGCGTGACGTGCGTGCGATGGCGGGCGGCCTCTCCACAGCCTCTCATGGGAAGCCTCCCTGGTCCTAGGGTGACTCCCGCTCGGCCATTCCTGAACACCGGAGTCGACTACGCCGGACCGGTGTGGCTGAGAACCTCCAAGGGACGGGGCCAGCGGGCCTCTAAAGCATTTATCGTTGTCTTTGTATGTCTGTGTTCTAGAGCGGTACACCTCGACGTGGCTACGGACTACACCGCCGACGCCTTCCTGGCTGCGCTGCGCCGCTTCGTTTCCCGCCGCGGTTTATGCCAGACGTTGTACAGCGACCGCGGCACAAATTTTGTCGGTGCCGACGCACAATTGCGCGATCTATTCTCCGCCGGCGGCCAGGGGGGCCGACGCATCGCCGAGCGCGTTGCTGAGGAGAGGATAGCGTGGCGCTTCAATCCCCCC